TAAAATTGAATTGAATTGAAAACAAATATAAAAGCACAAAAATGTTAATGTCAGTTGCTAGTTATATCAGTTTGGATAAGCAGTGTGCAGATCAGTGACTGAACCCATGTGCAGTTTGTCTAAAGCCCTGTAGGTTAGTGTTATCACATCTAGTTCTACTGGTTTGTATCGAATAAAACAGGATATCCCAGGATATCTTGTTATCTGGGTTCTTCAGAGGCCTGCTTAGACAATGCAAGGCTGACAGATCTCAGCTGCACCAATCCATTCTCTGTCTTTAAAAATTATCAATAGTAAGCCTGATTTAATAGGTGTGTAGAGACACATCCTTTGTCACATTCTCCCGTCTGCATTAGTTTTGAAACGGCCAATATTAGTGCACAGAAATACACCATCTGCCCAGAACTGACTTAGGTGAAACAAAAAAGCTTACCATGGAGTTTAGTTATAGCAGAGGCCGTATCTTCCTTCTTCTTCACAACATCTGCCTAATAAGGTCACAGGTGGAAGTATTTAACAGTAGTTACATGCATGAATGAGGAGGAACAAAGAGGGTTCAGAACATAAATCAAATATTTGGATGCAACAGGATACCGAGGGCCAAGTTCACTCAGTCGATATCGGACATCATGTGCATCCTGAAAGTGATACTACCCTGTGAATAATGCTATTGTATGATGTGCTGCAGTGCATAGTAAAAATAACTGTGACCCTTGCCTTTTCCGTGTTACAGGTCTGCAGAGCTTTACCAAGTTCCCCCGCTGACGTTTCACTTGCTGCCTTCTTCTTCTTCAGCTCATCCAACTTGGTGTTGACGGACGTCAGCGCGTCCTTCATGTCCTTGATTTTGTTTTTCACCTCGATGATGGCTTCCTCTTTCCTCTTGACCTCCGCCGAGTTCTCCACCATGCTGGTTTTCAAGTGGCGCAGGCTCAGCTCCTGGCGCACGGCCTGGAAAATCATTACAACCATCACCGCCACACTCAGGACGACTAAAACGACCGCGACCTTCATCGTGGCTGAGACAAGGCAAGACCGGATCAGAGAGGGACTAACTGGTGGAGACTGCTGCCGCCGATCACTCGCTGTTCATCCCGGGTATCTCTCCACCCGTGTCTCCTCCAGCTCTGTCTGTGGGCATTGTATTTGTTACCTGCTCTACCTGCTCAACAAGCTGGGCGTGACGACTCCAGCCATTTCCTCCTGTAGTCGGCACGCACCTGTTCAAACACACTGAGTGGATTTGCATCATGATCATGGGGCTTCCCTTGAATAGCCTACCTTATGATATCATATAGATTACTGGTTTATTTCAATGCTAATCTTTTTTTTTTTTTTTTAAAGCAACAAGAGACAAAATACTTCATCCACAAAAATGCAAACCCACTGGGGAAATTTCACTTTTATTTTCAATACATTTTACATTTTACAAACAGTACTGTTTTACATATTTTAATATTAGCCTACCACACTTATTATTAAATAACACAGGGTATTTTACAGTGGGGTGCTGCTACTTTAATAAAGACAACCTGAATTCTTTGAAACTATTGTCTCTATATAATAATAATATCCTAAATACAACCTCGTATTCAGGGTCAAAAGTGTTAAAATGATATAACCACACTGCACAAATATTTGTCACTGGTCATTAAAGAGCTCCAGTTTCCCACAAAGATACGTTAGCGTCTTATCTCCAGTCATACTTGAATTGCTGGTAAGTTGGGACAGCACAGGTGTAGGCAGGGCCAACCTGTTTCTCCCAAAAACTGTGCGGGAAGAGAGGGCGTGTTTTCGGCTCAGTTCAATCCACAAGCACAGGTGAGTCAGCCTCCTTGTCTGATTGCCTTTAACAAACGCAGAGAGGTGTAACCAGGGCGACGCGCAAAGCAGCTCCGCGTCCAGGCCGATGACTCCCTGACTGACTGAATGCCGCATGGACGTTTAAAGGAGTTGTGCTGTGACACCTGTTGGAGGAAATATAGCTACCCACACCAAGGGCAAATATCTCACACAAAGAAGGCTCGCATCACGCGTGGAAAAACATGAAGGTGCAAGTGTTCCTGCCTCTGACTGTAGTCGTGTCGGTGGCTTTGGTGGGGCTCATGAAAATACGCAAAAAGGAGCATGACATGGAAGACAGACGAAACAAGTTTGAGGATATCAAGCTCCGGGTGACCTACGATGTGCTGAGAGAGTATGAGAGCGAGAAGGCGAGGATGCAGAACCTGCTTGAGAAGACCAAGAGCGAGCACAGTGCGATGGAGGAAGAAACGAACAAAGTCGGCATGAACGAAAAAAAGGCGAAGGGTGAGGTGGACATCTGCCAGGGAGAGCAGGTGAGGGAAAAAAGGAAACTTGCAAGAATAGTGAAAACACGTAAAAGCAGAGTGTGTCCGCTTAAAAGGCAATGACATGCTCCACAACTGAAACATTAAACTTTCTTTTTAAAATCTGCATTTCTGTCTTTTCATAGCCATTGGCTTTGATTGATTTTATAGTGTAGTCTCTTTCTGAAGAAGAGAAACTGAAGAACACACATAACCTGTTTGAACTGGAATGAATAACACATCATTGCACTTACCAGACAGTAGGCCTAACAGGTGCCACTAAACTTCAGCAACAGGGCACCTTTTATTTGAAAACAATTTGTTTAAATTATGTAAATAATCTACTGTGTCTGCTTACGGTATATACATGGTAGGTCTTAGTCTAAAGTTTCTTATTTTACTACGCAGTCATTTCCCCAACTGCCACAAAACTTGAGATATCACAGTGGATGTTGCTTTAAAAATGATTCTTTTAGAAAAGAAAGATTTTAGAATCTAAACAGAACATCACCCTAAAGAGAGGGAGAAATGAAATTGTGCAGCCAAGAATATGAAGTGTATCATCATACTTGTATACTGTAGCACTGAGGACTTGTGCCAAAACTGTGTTGTGTGATCCAATTGATATTATGACAGTAATATAATATTATATTACTTTATATAATAATATTGGAAGGAAGTTGAAGAGATGTAAGATATCTGTGTGTGTGTGTGTGGTGTGTGTGTGTGCGCGCATGTGTGGAGAAAGGTTGTCAAACTGGTTTGTGTTGATGAGATTCTCTTTTCCACCTGCAGAAATCTGCAAGAGATAAGCTGGCAACAGTAGAGACAGAGTTGAATAGTCAACAAGGTAGGTGCTGATTGTCAAGAGACAAAGAAATGTTTCCATATTACTGCTTTAGATGCATTTTAAATGATTTCTCCTTCAGTTGAAAAATGAGACTTCAAGTTGATGGCTCTTAATTTTTTTAAACACTTGTGAATTCCTTTTGCCACATTATGATACTTACAGCTGCAAGCGATAAGGAGAAAGCCAGCTGGAAAGCAGAAGAGGAATCACTGAAAGTGCAACTAGCAGCACGGAGCTCTGTGTGTGCCTTTGTGAAGACAGAGTCATCACAAGCAGCAAGGTATGGTTACTACTTTACCAGACTTTTAAAAAATTATGAGATCTATGCATTCACTTCATTTCTATTGTTTGACTTTGTCTTAAAGTCAGTTGTGTGGCAGTAAAGTGAAAGTGGAAGAGCCTAAAGCAGAGGCCTAAACAAGAAAGCCTAAAGCAGAGGCCCTAAGCAAGAACAGCCTAAAGCAAGGCCCTAAGCAAAGAGCCTAAAGCAGAGGCCCTAAGCAAGAAAGACCTAAAGCAGAGGCCCCTAAGCAAGAGGAACCAAGCAGAGCCCCTAAGCAAGAGGAACCAAAGGCAGAGCCCTAAGCAAGAGGAACCAAAGGCAGAGGCCCCTAACAGAGGAACCAAAGGCAGAGGCCCCTAAGCAAGAGGAACCTAAAGCAGAGGCCCCTAAGCAGGAAGAGCCTAAAGCGGAGGCCCCTAAGAAGAGATGACCTGTGTTTGAACACACAGAATCTTGCTTTACTGGGTCTATGTTGCATGAATATTCTATTCAATCTGTTATTTATTTTTATTCAACAATATGACTAAGAGTGAAAACACATTTGGATGCGGGTCATATGTTGTATTTGTAACATTGCATCACAATGCAAATTATTTTTTTTGGCTAGGTTAAAGTGTTCACTCACTTAAAGGAAATGTAAGAAATCTTTGTCTGACCATAATTAAAAAAAATTAAATGTGAACCAACTTTGTTTTTAAAAAGGGGGTTGTATGTATGCACTACCATGTTAAAATTTGACTAACTTTGAATTTAACTTAAATAAATATTCTTTTCCAATAACAAATTGTCATTAATAAAAAACATGACTTTATCAACTATGTTATTCAAACCAGCAGAGGAAAAACTATTACTACTCTCAACTTAGGTAAAAGTAGAAAAACAACATGTACTCAACTACAAGTAAAAAACCTTTAAATATTAACTAAAGTAAAAGTACTATTGATGTCCCGATCCAATCTCAACGATCTTATATATTGAGTTTTATTGATCTTATCTTTACTGTCAGCTCTCATATGACTTACTTGGTTACTTATAAAGCTTTCATGAACAGTGAACCTCTCTTCAGACAGTGGTAAGACCAAAAAGATTACTATTTTATAATTATTAATTGTTATTTTATACTTTTATTGTGTAAAAAAATATATATATTTAAAGAAATTAAATTAAAAAATGAACGAACAGCTTGGATGCAGGCATTTTGTTTCTTAATGCAAGAGCAAAGCTATTCAATTGTCAAGCACTAGATTGATTTTAGTAACTTTAATGTACTTAAAGTGTGCAATGTACACCTGTATTATCTAAGGAGCAGCAAAATGCACTCAAAGTATCAAAAGTAAAGGTACTTAATATGCGGAAAGTATTCTATCATTGTATTACTATTGTATTTAACAGCATTTGATATTCAAAGTTCAAAATTATTTTCTATACTGTTGTGTAGTTAACTTATGAAATTTAGTTTTTTAAACTGATCATATTTGCATCAGTGTAGTGTAGTAGTATAAACTATAATATAATGGAAATACTCAAGTTCAAATACCATGGACTTGTTCTGAAGTACAGCACTTCCACCACAGCTTGTAAAAAAATCAGTAAGTAAAGAAAAAGCACAACATTGGGTCCACCAGTATCTCCTTGTCTAACTCAGAGCTGTAGAGCAGCCAAAAAGCCCATAAAGCACAGGGGCCCAAGGAGTTAGGAGGCCCATGGGCCAGAGTCTCTAATATTTCTTGTTGTAAAGTCACAGAGCACATAGATCAATGCACCTGAAAAAAAAAAGTTTTAATATTGAGTATCTGCCTAATCCAGTGCAACATCTGTTTTTATTGTTTTATTTTGTTTATTTATTTTCACAGTTGCACAGCATACTGGGTGTACAGTCACCCACATAGCAACAACTGGTCTGACCCAGTCACAGCCCACACAGCCCACTTACATTCAGTCCAAATACAGAAATGAATTATAGTCCAGAGGTGGTCCAGATCTGGTCCAAAGGATACTAAAAGACAGAACCCACCACAGCCACAGCCTGTTCACCCTGCTGGCACTTGGGAAGAGTTACAGAAGCTTCTCTGCCACCAGACTTAAAGACAGCTTCTTCCAACAAGCAGTGAGACTGTTAAATTCTTCTTCAGCACTTCATTATACAAATTAGTATTTAAAAAATGTAATACATTTTTATTTAGACTTTACAAGTAGCATGTTGATGCACCGTTTGGTTCATTACGTACTCGTGCTCTTTTAGCTTGAGTACTTTCTTATAGTTCTTGTGTGTAAAATAAAAAATAAAATAAAATTTTCCAAATTTAGAACATTTTTTTTTTAATCCATTGTATTTCTTAATTATAATTAAGAATAATTATATATTATCTAATTATAACAAACAAATCCCTACAATAAAACAAACAATAGCCGACCTAGGCACAGTCAAAAACCACAGGCTTCCCTGTGCACCACATCTGCACCAATTAGTCTCTGGCATAAATAGACTGGCTACCCATAGTGCCACCCAAACTCAAACACAAAAAATGGCTCCAACATGGCATAAAGGGATAAGGAACTAAATTTAATTATACAACCATGCATTGTAAATGACAGTAAAATAAGGCCAGCTGTGGTCATACCATTGGCTAGATATGGCTATGTCATCAGTATGCAATAAAGCTACGCACATAACACGCTGTAAACAGTCAGGGTGTGGGGCTTAACAGACACAAGGTTGTGTAATACTATCAAACTAACCTGTATCCTGGTTGCACAGGTAATGATAGATGCATGCAAACTATGTGCATGAGAGACAAAGAAAGTCACAGAAAGTGGAGAGAGGAAAGTCAAACACTTCACATTGTGTAGTAAAGTGGATTTATCACCAAAGTTTTTTTCGTGTTTTTGTGATTTGTGTATTATGTTGCAGTACATTACGCTTTTTTGGCCTTTTTTTTGTCAAGGATCTTTTTCCCCCTCTGTTAGATAACTCCTCCACCTCCAACGCTGAAAACACAGAGATAGGTATTGAATAATCGTTGTTAACCTTGTCTGCCTCTCTCTTTCTTACTGACCCTGCCTCAGGGTTTGTGTGTGTGTGTGTCTGTGTGAGAGAGCGAGAGAGAGACCAAAGCACGGACCAATCAGAAAACCCAAAGCCTTTGTCTGTCACTCCCTATAAACTTCACTATGTTATGTTCACAGTAAAGCTTTGGCTATACAGTTTGTATTCTGGCTCATTCTAAAGCTTCAGTTTCAATAAATGTTGCCTTTCTTTGAGTGTGGTGCAAATTATCTTTTAAATCTTTTAAACCTGAACACTAACAAACAAAACAATATCGATCAGACTTGAAATTAATTTTTGTATTCATAGAATAAAGCTACAACAACAGCTTTATGAAGTGCTCTTGTTAGATAGTTTAGTTAATATTCAACAATATAGTGTTCGATTTAGTTTTTACTCAGGTCAGATCAGGTGGTTTTTTTCTTTTATTTTGTCAACTTCCTGTAAGGTTCCAGATTAAATACATTAGATATATTCAGTCACTAATTTTGGACTAGATTAATACATAATTGTCATGACTGCTCCATACTGACAGGACTGCACGTTCTGATTTATGTAATCATTTTGTTGAATATGTTTCTGTCATTTTGATGATGCGTCTGTATTTGTGCACATTTTGTTATGGGATGTCATGGTGTAATGATGTAATTCATTGGTGTGATCACTCTATTAAGAGCAGGAGACTATTTAAGAATTGAAACTTTGAATTTGAACCATTTTGTTTCTGTGACATCTTCAGTAGCACCTGGATTCACAACATGTAAAAAGAAATGACTTGGCTGTACTTGGATTTTGCGCTTTTTCAAAATTGACATTTTGCATAATTCGATTATTATGAGGTTTAGTGCTGCATCCTTACAAGCAATTAGATGTCAAAATAAATTAAAACTAGTTTTAGATTAATCTAATTTATCTAAATGATTTTGATCTTTTGACCTTTAACGTGTGAGTGGAAAAGCATCATAGCTTTGAGGCTTGGACTGAAGAGGTAAATGATTTTGCTCTGTGTATTTAAAAGGGAATTGACCGGGACTATAAAAAGACTTACAAGCGAATTATTATACTGAATATAAATAATGTTAAGTCATTCAAAGGATTACGTTTCTTTTAATCCTCATGCAATTCCTTTTTTTCTTTCTATTACCCTGTCATCTTTCACTTTGCCTCACACTGCCCTCCATCTGTTGGAGATTAAAATACTCCCCCCAGGCTCACAATTAGGCAATCAGAGGGCCATCATTCCGCCCCAATAGGCTCACAAGGTCAGCGTCATACAGGAGAGGATACAGAGACAGCAGAGGGGGGACATTCAGTCTGTCTGATGTCACAAACGAGGGCTGTTGTTCATGAAATGTACTTTCTAATCTGATATAGAAATTTAAAACGCAGAATGTCAAGTACATTTGTGTTAAAAATTGTTCGATGTTTGTAAATGAAGCTGAATATGAGAATCATACACTGTATCCTGGATACAGAATAAATTCTCATTCTCACAGTGTACTTTTTATTACACACCTGTTCTACGTCTGCTTTTTGCTGACTACAAACAAAACATCTGCACTCACCCACAGGGGAAAGTGCTGTGTTCTTCATTAACCATCATATCTGACGGATGATGTGAAGTCAACATGTGTTTACAGTCCCACACTACTCCACACAGATGGAGTGATAATACCATCACCAGTCATCTTAACAACCAGAGGTCAGCCTGACAGTCAGAGGTCACCTTGGCCACTTGGAGTTGGATTGTCAATTTAAATTTAAAAAACATTCACAATGGGATGTTTACCGATAAAAACTTTCACATGAGGTTCTGAATATTCATCCAGTAGGTTACTTCACACACTTATATACCAAAAACCAATAGTAAAAGAAGTATTGAGACCTTTTATTTAAGTAAAAGTGGCAGGATTTTGAGGTAGTAATACTCTACTATAAGAACAGTAATATAAAAACCATCACCAGGCTCACATGAGACTACAATGAAATTCTTACAGTCAATAAAGTAAAAAGTTTTGGGATTGTAAATTAGACAGATAAAACTGTGAGAAATCTGCTAAAATCCACTATGTCTCTGGCAGGCTGCCATATGTAGAGTGTAGATCAATTTCTCTCTTTCTTTTGCCATATGTCCAATAAGCTTTGCATATTGTCTAACATTCTTGATGTAAACCTAGCTGCACAATAGGAAAAATAAAAAACATTTGCAAACATATGAACAATGTAGTTAAACAACTCACACATGCAGATACTGAGAGAAGTTGACTTTAAGATCGCTGATCCTCACACAGGATGAAATTCATGTTTACACATCAGTCATTTGATATATTTGAATTGTTAAAGAAAGACTTAGTAACAGGATACAACGAGTGACTAAGGTGACCGTCATGGGTTCACGCTTGTCCTCCCTACAGGCAATAATAATAAAGTTATTTGACTTTGCATCTGCAGTCGTGTGTGTGTGTGTGTGTGTGTGTGTGAGAGAGAGAATGTGTGAGGTAGGGAGCTCACAGTAGGATGAACATCACATCTATTGATCAGGCTAATGTGGGGAGGAAAGGCTGCAGGCCACAGCAGCTGATCAATATACCTCTAATTACATATGGCACTGAGTGTGTGGGTTCCTGAACGAGTGAGTGTCCCCCCCAAACTCACAGGGTTGTGTATATAAATGCTGTCCCACTGAGGAATTGCTCACACGATCATACACACAGCTCATAGCTCACACACACATTTAACAGTTTTTTATTTTATTTTTTTTACTTTTTCCATCTGCGCTCAAAGCTCAAGTACATTTTTTACTTTAACTACCTGCTTTACCCACTGGGACGCTGTGTATGGATAAAGGGAATTAGTGAGTATCTTCATATTTGTATTTGTGTGTGTCTTTTCAGTGAAAGTGAATCTCCTCTTCTTTTCTTGCTTTTTCTGTCCACAGTTTCCCAGCAACCTTTGTCTTTTTCTTGCAAAGGGGACACAAGAGATGATCTCAAATGCCAACAAGTTCTCTGATTCCCTGTGTTAGTGACTCCCTCCCTCAGGGCCTTTTTACTCCTGTGGTGGACCCTTTCTTTCTTGACTATCTGATACACATTTTATGCATTCTGTGGTATTGTTTGTGGTCTACATTCGGAAAGCCCTTATTCTCACTGCTTTGTCTCTCCTGTCTGCTACAGGTGTTTCCAGTGTCCTGAGGCTCAGATTGGCTAGAGGCTGTGTGATATGTTTGATATTCGGTTGTTCTTGTGTTTTATCCTGTCAACTAAATATCAGACATATTCCTACAGAGTCTAGCATTGCCATCAAATCATTGTTGTACCTCTGGAAAAAAATCCCATGAAATCAGATGTTTGGGTAAATGGTTTTTTTAATGGTTTTCGACCGTAAATTTATTATGTGTGTTATTATGTTGCTAAATATTGTAGAATATTATTGTAATGTTCAGTTGTGTCCAATTTCTTACATCAATCTCTGTGAAAAAAAGTGAACATACATTATTAGTAGTGGTGCTTTTCTGTTAACATACATGCATGTTTTGAATAAAGAAAACCAACAGAAATCTTTCACTATTATTTACTTGCTCTTTTCACTCTCCATTAAACACATATACACCCACACACACAATAATATTTTAAGCAAGACTGCCAGCTGAGGAATTAGAGTCTTCTTCTTTTTTTTTTTAAATGGGATGTGTGCAAGTACATCCTGGACCATGAGAAAACAGGCACCTTACTGGCACATTTGTGACATAACTGATTGTGACAAAGCCAAACCTGTTAACAGCCATTGTCCTACCACTCCTTTTTACCACATTTGCATTCCATAAATACTGTTATCAAACGTTTATTTTGTGGCTTATGTTTCAGTCGTAGTGCTATTAAGGACATTTTTTATCTTTTATCTTGATTTTATTCATGTAGGACTTAAATGATGACGTGTTAACGTGGTCTGCAGTGATTCATTACTGTCTCCACATCTCTGATGCACATTATATTGCATCAGATATAGTGAGCTACATGCTTCAGATACTATTTTTATACTTTAATTAACTGATTCTACATAGAGGGAACATGCGTTTGGACTTTTGGCTAATGAAACGTCCTCCTTTCCAGTGAATGAATTCTTCAAAGGGCATTTTATTATGTAAGAGTCCATTTTCTAAGGAAATGTAATAAGTTACATCCTGATGTGCATTGGCTGGAAAATCTGTGGCGCTGTTGTGAGTAGATAATTTACTTTCTAATTAAATGAGTTACTGTGTGAGAGTACCCTCACACACACAACAAAGGGGTGTCACAAAATGAAATATTCAGTTTCACTATAGAGCTACACCAAATAGTGAACACCAGGCTAGTGAAGAGTTGCCTCTGTATCCTTTGTGTTTCATACATACCATTCTTCAAAACAATTCTGGCCAACAATTAGATAAGTGGATAGACAGGCTAGGGTGCACAGAAGGCATCTGAGACTAAATGTGAACAGTAGAGAGGAAAAAAGTATGTGTGTGTGTGTGGCAGCAGTAGAGGCCGTCTGGGTTGAGTTCATGACCTCTGTGTGTGTCTATGTAGCTGATTTGATCTGTAGTCACATCTGAGGACCAACAATTTACCAACAGCTTTTTTAAACCTGTTGATCTTGTTGGGTAAAGTCGTCCTATTGCAAACAAAGAAATGTGTTGTTAGTTTGTTGCCACTGCAGATTCAATGTGAGCTAAAATTAATTTTATATTCACTAAAGATAAGGTAAGGTTAGGTCAAACCTCTAGGCAATGAAATCTCCTCAAATGTAACAAACAAATCAGTGTGTGTGCGCGTGTCACTGTGTATGTGTGTGTGTGTGTCCAGAGAAGCGCATGTTATCAGAGTATTCAAGGTGGTTTGTTCAAACAGTTCCCAGCACAAAGAAACAAAAAACACTGAAACCCATCCTCCAACACAAAAATATCCTCAAATTTACCCAGGAGGCCCTCAAATATTATGCCCCTCCCCTGCTCCAGGCAAAAAAAAACCCACAATGACGTAAAAACATGTCATGTCAAAGAGACTTTTTTAATAGGAAAATGAAACCTAACTTCAGTGAATCATGTTAAAGCATATTCATCTTGTAATTAGCTTGATGATTCATTAACAAAATGATATGAAATTGAATTAAGCAACTGATGTGCATCAATGAATTTGATCATTAGTCTGTTGTAAAGACAATTATCAAAAACATCCTTAGGATCTTTTTTTTTTAAATACAATGAAGCAGTGGTGGAAAATAACAAAGTTAAGTTTACTCAAGGACAGTTTGGACTTTATTTGAGTATCTCCATTTGATGCTACTTTATAGTTGTACTCCACTAAACTTGTCTGACACTTTTACTCAGTAGTCACGTTTTACATAAAAAAAACATATAATATGTACGACTATACTACTAATCTACCTAGTAGTATACAAAGTATCTCAGATTGCCTACAGCATTAAAATGCTCATACTCGTATTCGTTAGTGATAAAAACAGAATAATATAATATTCAATAATAACACTTTAAAAGGGGCCATTCTGCATAATGAGTAATTTTACTTTTAATACTTAAATACATTTTGTTGGTAGCACTTCTGTGATTCTGTGATTAACAGTTTTAATCCAGGACTTGTACTTGTAATGTAGTATTTTTATGGTATGGTATGGAGTATGGTATTCCTGCTTTTACTCAAGTAAAACATCTGACTACTTCTTCCACCACTGCAATATAAATAATATGTATATTTTTCAACACAAAAAACATTTTTATTTCATTGAATGCCACAATAAATAAGTATACGAGCAGAGGTCAAGGGTTCACACACATGCAGCTCCTGTGTTGGACAATAGGCCACTGGGTAGTTGTCCGATGGATGGTGTCACCAGTGAGATCTACTGATAGGGTCAAATGGCACCCCCTGAAACAAATGTTATCTGAAAGAGTGCACACTGTATACTCAAGGGCAATTTCTTGAAGCAGTAAAAGAGGGGAATGACGAACACTGTTATAATAATGCTTGTGTGTGTGTGTGTGTGTGTGTGTTTGTGTGTGTGTGTCTGCATGCTGTATGTGTGTGTGCAGATGTAGAATGGTAATTAACGAGTGTGTGGAAGTGGTGGTGGTGGTCGGGGGGGGGACAAATAGCAGTGAAGAAAGTAGAAATGACTGCAGAGATAAGGACGTGCGGGTTCAGTATAAATATCTGAGAGCACAGGGCGAAGGGGTGGATCAGTTCAAGAGTGGTGCTGAGGAGGAGACACAGAGAGGGTGAATGAAAGCAGGAGGAACAGAAAGAGAAGAGCTGAAAGAAATTACAGCAAGGGAAGGATTTTATACAACACAGTGGAAATAGGTAAGACTCTGGCATTTACCTCATCTCGTTACTATGTTTTGTGTATTTTTTTTTTTAATCAGTGCACCTTTTTTTTTCCAGAAATGGCCAACACAGCAGGAGGAGTGTTTTTAGCTGTTTTGTTGTTCCTGAGTGCCAGTGTACCATGTTTCTCTGTGTATAACAGTGGCGAGTGCTTCTTCAACACTAAAGGTACAGTGTGTGTGTGTGTGTGTGTGTGTGTGTGTGATATAATGTAATTATGAAATAATGAATATACATTACAAAATACAGTAATACAATTAGAATATTTCCCATAGGCCTTTATGTGTACCTGCTCAGTTGTAGAAAAGAATTAATACATTTTAAAGCGTCCTCACTATGTTTCAGAGAGAATTATTGAACTTTTCACCTCACTACATTTATTGGACAGTTATACTGATTACTTTGCAAATTCAGTTTTTCATCCAAAACACATGATCAGTTTATGAAATATGATGTACCCTTATATCATAAACAAAATAACTAGTATTTAAAGCAATCAAATCGTTCTTACCAGACCTGCTGCAACATTTACATGTAAACTCCACTGCTGGATTTTTCACAATAAGTCATATTTTAATTTTTTCAGGGAGCTGTGAATACATGGGACAAATGTACGGGATAGGAGAGAGCTGGATAACCAGTGACTGTTACCAGTGTGTCTGCATGGAGCCTTTTGGAGTAGGATGCTGTGACCAGTGAGTTTGGTTTAAATTAACCTAACCTCAAAAAGTATTTAGACTTATATGCAGCATATATATGTTCTGACTCTGATCTCCCCTACAGTGGATCTAAACCTGTGGACTATCCGGACTGGTGTGAGATCATCCGTAAACCTGACTCTTGTACTAGTATTGCAGTTATGAGAGTCAATCGTAAACTACCTTGTCTCTGGGGACGAGGCCGTCTCAGACCAGCTGCAGGACAACCATGGAAATCAGACAATGATCCTATATTTTGAGTTCAGCAATTAATAAGAAAATATAGCAATATAACAATGTGTGATGTTTATTTGTGTTTTTTTTTTTGTGTTTGTGAGAGACTAAGCTAGATTGAATTTTAGAACAAATCTGCAAATAACAACCACAGGAATTATCTGTTTGTTCTGTTTATGTATAATTTCACATTTAAGATTGTGTTGTTGATGTTTGTTGTTGATGAGTCTGTCTGAATATCTGGATTGTTTGTGGTTCATGTTTTAAGATTAAATAAAACTGTAATATATGTTTAATTTCTGGTTTTGTCAAATGTGTTATCTTTACTATTATTCCCTTGTGCTATTACTCGGTGGTGAGTAATAACATATAAAATTGGTAATTTGCCTTATAACAGAATTCAGATTGTGCTACTCTAAACATATTTGACTGCTCAGCTAAAATCTACAAACATATAGAAGACTTCATGTCACGTGGAATTCAGAGCATCAAAACCAGAATTATATTCACAAAATAAAAACTAGTTGACAGTTTATTGGCCCCATGAGGGAGGAGGTGTATTATTATAATGAATTATCACATATTTATTCAAGGATTTTTATTCTTAAGTATCTGGAATTGCATTGGAGTAATAATGTTACATTAAAACATACTAAAGTACAAAAAGTAAATGTAGCCTATATTATATCATTGGATTGGAAATTATAATTGATGCATTAATCATCGTAAAAGGTCTTATCTTATCTTAAATAAAATAATTGCATTATAATTGCTTTGCTGATTGTATTTTGTGTTATTAAAGTATTTTAATTAGCAAGTGGAAATACTCAATTAAAGTAGCCTACAAATCCCTCAAAATTGTTCCTAAGTAGTCTCCTGTACAAGAGTAAATGTACTTAGTTACTTTCCACCGGTGGAAAGCTTTTTTTCCCCCGTTTTTAGAGTAGAGTAGAGTGATATGGATACCATGACAACGCCTATTACCATTCCCTTTTTCAGAAAAGTACAATATTACATAAATAACACTGGTGAATCCTAATAGATGATCACTAACCCTTTAGGGCGTAGAGGAGTCTCTTTAGAGAGGATGCCTTGATTTGTAATCTTGCATTTATTTGTTTTTTGGTTTGTGCCTTGCTGTA